AGAGAGAGAGAGAGAGTGTGTGGAAGAGAAAGATGAATTAAATAGCTTCTACTCGATCGTTTCCCTCCTACTGGTTGTGTAATATATATTTTTGTAACTGTCCTCGGGTCTAGATGTTACACTTGTACGTGTTGTCCGAGACTAAAGCTAGTTGCACGATGTACATAACGCATTAGAGCGAGTCGATTAGGGTTTAAAACGTCTCCTCGAGAGATGAAAAACATTTGCTTTCGCGTATTCGGTGTTCAAAGATCTTCTAAATGGTAATCACCGTTCTCCCTCGGCACGAAATCGATTGTATATACGAGACACCACGATTCTGACGACGAATTCTGTGTACACGTGTACGCGTACATGTTGCATACAAGAATAAAACCTCGAATCTGTGCACCGAACCCAGTCTACTAAATCCTTGCTGCACGATTCCCACCTCAAATTTCAAATCCCACGGGATTTTATGACATTTATGAAATTTGTGTAATAAAATTTGGAGAAGATTGTGTAAAAGAATCCTTTTCGGACAGTAAAAATTTTGAAAAAGTATGGCATTTCCAAAATGAAGAAACTTACTTCTAAATTATTATTTCTTTTCCAAACATTTAAAGTAATTATCGAGAAACAATTACTTAACCGAGAAGCGGTGTTAAATCAACGAAAGAGAGAATTTTCAATTCGATTTTCTTATATATACAAATTATATACGTTCGTCTCGAAGGTCGGGAATTTGAGACTGGACCAATTTCCAGGTTAAGAAGAAATCCACGAGGAACTTCACTCCATCCGTTTTTCCTCCGTCCAGCAATTGGTACTAATTAATTAGCGGCGTGTCTTGCCCCTCTTTCCGGGATTTTATTCGTTGGGCCACGAGCGAGGTGGAGCTTTTTGTACGAGGCCACAAAGGCCGCTTCCGCCACCGCTTTTGTTTAAATATTAATAACGCGCTGAAACTCTGTCGCTCTCTGACCGCGCCCGGAAGGCCGCGCTTTGTTCAATTAAACTTAATATCTTTATTATATCGGAGCGTCGAAAGCGGATATTATTTATTGCGGCGGAAGTCGGGAAAACGGGTGGGGTGGGGACGGAACCGAGATTCTGTTGTTTTTCGTGGAACGGTGGAAACTGCTCCGGAGAATTAAATGCTGGATATTGTAGTTTAGTCAGATTTATGGAAAAAGTACACGATTGCTAATGCAAGCTATATTCGACGAGTATTTGTATATCGAGTTTCGTGTACATGTTTTTCGTGCTATTTTTTTTTTTCTGTACTACATATAATAAAATAAAATATAAGTAAATAGGAATAATTGTCGCATACGCGAAAAGGAATCGTTCTATTGATATTGGAAAGATATTAATATAACGATTCGTTTGTACGTATACACGGATTTCACGAGCGCGAGTGGTACAAGCAAATGGAACGTCAGCCATCGGGAAAATAGTAATGGTCCATCGGGCAACGAAATTCCTCCATGGAAAAATCTGACGCGAATGACGTCGGTAACTAATATTCGCTCGTTACGTGCAGGCCTTTTGTCGGCCATGATAAATTAGCCGTCGACCCATGTCAAAGAGCTACAAAGAAAAGCAAACCTTCGATGGAGAATCGTACGGACTTCGCTATCGAGCATCGTGGATATCGATCAGGGGATGCTGCAGCAGTCTGATCCATTTGTCGAATCGAACCAACCGATTCCATTAATCGATAATCGCGTAAATAGAGTCACGGCTGACGTTGACAACACTTCGATTCGAATAAGTAATCTTCGAAAAGGAGTTTTCATCGTTTCTATCAACCCAAAATTCCTTTTCATCCAAATCCGCTCAACAAATTAAATCAAAAACATCCGATAAGATCTCTTGAAACGCTAGATCAAACTAAAATCCAGATCTTTCAACCCGTTCAAACTGGTAATCCTCAATCCCTAATTCCTTACCTTCTCCTCCTCAAAGACATCGAAACCCACCACCACCCAGAAAAACCAATCCCAATTACCTTCAAATCCTAACAAAGCACGACAACAAACACAGGGTTGGAGCAGATCCCAAGTCCATTTCATCAAACCTAATTCAATCGACGCACAAGCGACGATTATGTTCACGAAGCCAGCCAGGAAAAATCACGACGCGACATTCGTCTCGCAAGGCGAGCGAGCGAGAGAAAGAGAAGAGCATCGAGGTGATAAGCCTCGATATCTCGGAGCTACACCCCCTGCGCGCGAGATGTAAGCCCCGCCTATCCCTGGGTTACACCGGTACTTGCAAGAACCCCCCTGGAGCCCCCCACCCCCGGCCAGAGGGGGTAACCCAACCCCCGGTGTGTTCCATCGTCGTTGGCATCCGCGGCATTCCAATTAGCTCGCGAATCAAAAGAGCCCCACTGCCTTTGTGGGGTCTCACCCTCTTCTCCCTCCCCTCACCTACCCCCTGGTAAACTGTCTCCTTCCCTCTCTTCCACCCCCGACGGCTTAACGTCGCCTCTCTTTCCGGCCGCGTGCATCATCGCTCTTCCTCTTTCGATCGTCGTCCCCCTTTCTTCTTCTCCTGTTTCCAGCCCGAAATCCTCTCTGTTCCACGCGCGAGGGACGCCGCGCCTCCTTTTCCTATCGGTTTTTATCGCGATACACACGATTCGATTCGGGTCCCTCCGGTTGGAAAGTTTTCGAGAGCAATTCGTGAGCCTGGATCCTGGGATTCGGGGAGAGAGAAATCGGTTTTCGGGCATCGATTTCTGGTTTTTTTTTTTTTTCAGAAATAGGTTCGATTCTCTCGACTCTGTCGAGATAGAAAGAGTGCAGATTTTAGAAGAGAATTAAGTTCGATTCGATTTTTGAGAATTTCGATATGGAAGACGATCCATTTTTTTTTTTTTTTGGAAATAATTTTCGATCGGAAAAGAATCGATTTTCGAAAGTTGGAGTAGACGTGTAAGAAGATCGGGAAGGGTGTAGTGGTTGTTAATTTTAGGGATTCTATATTATTTAGGGATAATAGTTCGTTTCGATCGAAGCGTATCTCCCTTTTTCTTTTTTTTTTTTCAACTTCAGAAAATAGCCTTAAATATCTCTGCGACAAATGCCGAATATTAAATACCGAAAAATTGTACCGTTATAATGATTGAATCGCCCGGTGCTCGAGCGTTACCCCATCGAGCTTGATAAAATTACAAATATCCGCTCAGGATTGGCCGGCGCTCAGGTGGCCGATTTAAAAATTCCCGTTTAATAACGCGCCCGGCCACGCTTTGACATAATTCCGCCAACGTTACATCGATCTCCACACCGTTCCGCTTTTCAATCGTCCTCCGCCTCTCGAGAACGCGCTCGTTCACGAACGCGGCAATTAGCGAAAAAATGCCGTGTAATAATTCCCCCTCCTCCTCTCCTCCGACCTCGTAGTTTCGACGCGAAAAGAGCTCCAGGCTTCGCTCGAATCCTTTCAGATCCTCGCCTCCCTCTTTCACCTCGATTTTAATCTCGAATCTGCGCCCTACCACCTATCCTTCAAAAACGAAAAAAGGAAAAAAACGGTAATTCGGAAAGAAAGGAGACGAAAAAAAAAAAAGAATATCGCCACGAATTTATGGAAATCGGACGAATCGACGCTTGGCGGTGGTGGTGGGTGGGTGGGTGTGTGCGACACACGGAAACACCGGGACGATTTTAATATCCGCGAATGATAAACAAAGTGATATCTAACGAAGTGGATAGAGGCGCGCCGTAATAAAATTTGCGTTGCCGCTTCGTCGCGACCGGCCGCGGGTAAAACGTCACGAGCGGTTTCCTCCGATTTCAATTAGCCCTCGCGACCCTCCCCTCCTCTCTCTCTCTCTGTATAAGCGCGCTCGCGCGGATGTAGATCGCGTTTTCAGAAGAGGAACGAGATAGCTGGGTGGTCAGGGAGGAAGGGAGGGAGGAGGAGATGGGTCCTTTTTTTCCTTCCTTTTTTGGTTTGGTTTGGTTCGTTTATTCTTTGTTTGATTCGACGTACGTGGGGGGATGGCCGATGTCGTGCGTATCCTTTGATGGGATTTTGTTTGAAAGAAATTTGCCGCGAATCGTTCTTGTGAATTTTTGCTTTTTCGGGAATGTTAATACTAATGGAAAGGAAATTTTGATAGCGATGAATAATAGTTTCGAAGAAGAGTTTCGTAGAATATTGTCTAAGACTTGTTAGTTGAATTCGAATTTCTTTTGTTAT